TCCTTTATTCAAACACTTCTGAATGCCAAATAACAAAAATTTGCAACTTTGTTACTGTGTATATGTAATGTGGTAGAATATTCTTAGGTATGGAAACATGGATGATTATACACAGTTGGACCATAACATTTTATTTATAAATTTTCAATAACACCCCTGAAACTTAAGAAACGGCATTATAACCTGCACATTCAGGTTCTACAGTGGTTGAGGGATTGAAGAAAAATGTTTGATCATACTGTCAAACATCACCTTAGCTGCAAAGGGAGGGCAGATGAAGAAGTGGCCTCTGGCTGTGATTTGTTGTGGGACAGCAGTGAGGACACAGTTTTTGCTCCCTCTGCCTGTTGTGCAGCGGTGGAAGGGGTGCCTGCCACTGATCATCCCTCTGGCTGCACACTGAACCTTCCAGAAACACAGCATGCTGTACACCACACCTCGCCACCTTGGCAGAGACTCTGAACTGAAACTGGGAATCCAAACTCTGGGAATTTGATGATGCCAATTATACAATCGTCAAATTGTCTTCCTTGATGAGGTAATAAACTGAAAACATGATTAAAATATGTCCTTTTCATCCTTTCCTCCCACATGTAGAAAAAGACCCTTTCTTTCCGCAGCACCAAGGAATACTCCATTTGTATTTTATACACAGCAGAAACGATCGCATACCGAATAGGCATGGGTCATCCGCACCGAGAAAACATGGAAAAATTCTTTTATCTTCATGTATAAATACTTCTTATTTATATTGTTTCAATTTTAAACAAAATTCCAACAGTATTACTAATGGTAAACTAAAACCTTTTTCTAACTCAGAAGCAAAAATTTGTTTGTTTTTGTGACATTAACAGTACACACCAAAGTCCACTGTCACTGATGAGTCACATTTTGCTAACAGCTTGTGTCCAATATCTAAAATTTTTAAAAAGTATTGTGACTGTTTTTTCAAGAAAAATTCAATTATTACTCCAGGCCACAAATATGCAACCAGTGCTGACTTCCTGTCTATGAATTTAATCCCATCAGCTATGAGTGAAGAGTGCGATCAAATCCTGCCTGATCAAGTTTCACAATAGATCACTCACCAGACTTCAGGGAGAATTCTGAAATTTCACCAGACATCCCAAGAGCTCATAGCGTGCTGTACACTGCGTGATGTTTCTTGTAATTTTAATTGGATCTCTGTAGAAATACCCTAGAAATACCCTAGTTTTTACAAAGCAAAGACTTTAAGACAAGACCAGTTACATCATGCAAGGTTGTTATTTTCTATAAATTTTTTTGCTGTTTTCCCAAGAATATTTTAAAATACCTCAATCATAGTGCATTGACTACTTTGTGAGACAACCATTCCAGAATCTTACTAACATCACCTCTAGGACTACGTTTCTCTTACTACTCAGTTTCTTGGTTTATCTGCTGAACTCATACAAAATCACATCTTTCTCATTATTTATATGCCTCAAACACTTGGTGGCTGCACTACATGTGGTCACATACAGTAAAGTTATATAGGAAGAAGAGTTAATTGTTTCTTTCTGCTCTGTCTTAGATAAATAAAATGGAACTTAACATTTCATATAAACAACAGTCCTTTCGTAAAGGAACTGCCATGTTGTGTAACTTCTTATTACTTCACTTGGAGTAACAGGAATTATATTAACAATAAAATGCTGTAACACAAAATTCCATCATAATTTCCCACCAAAATTCTATAGCAAACATAGATGGTAAAATATCTATTTCACAGAATCACAAAATCAACAAGGTTGGAAAAGACCTCTGAGATCCACCCTTTGACCCAACACCACCTTGTCAACTAGCCCATGGCACTGGGTGCCACATCCAGTCTCTTCTTAAATATCTCCAGGGACGGTGACTCCATCACCTCTCTGGGCAGCCCATTCCAGCACCCAATCACTCTCTCTGTAAAGACCTTCTTCCTAATACCCAACCTAAACCTTCCCTGGAAGACCTTAAGACCATGCTTTCTTGTCTTACTGATAGTTGCCTGGGAGAAGAGACTGACCCCTACCTGGCTACAACCTCCTTTCAGGTAGTTGTAGAGAGTGATGAGGTCACCCCTGAGCCTCCTCCAGACTAAACAACCCCAGCTCCCTCAGCCTCTCCTCACAGGACTTGTGCTCAAGTCCCTTCACCAGCCTCACTGGCCTTCTCTGGACCCATTTCAGCACTTCAATACCCTTCCTAAACTGTGTGTCCCAGAAATGGACCCAGTACTCCAGGTGTGACCTCACCAGTGCCCAGTACGGGGGAAGGATCACTTCCCTGCTCCTGCTGGTCACACCGTTCCGATACAGGCCAGGATGCCATTGGCCACCTGGGCACACTGCTGGCTCATGTTCAGCTGCTGTCAGTCAGTACCCCCAGGTCCCCTTCTGCCTGGTGGCTCTCCAGCACACACTGCCAAGCACTGCTTCACCTCTGGAAAGCGTGAACACAGTCACACAGCAGAGGTAAGATAGGTGTGCACACTGAAGCACAGGGTCATGCCAGGTAGAACATTTTCACTCTAGTCTAAGACAGAGTTTTGAAAACCTCTAGAGAAACTGAAGAATGCTTTAAAAAGTAATTTTTAACTCAAATTCCAAACTGAGCCTTAAAATGTTAATCTCAATTTTAACTAATCACTGTGAAGATTTTCTAATGATTTTATGTCCTGAACAACATGTCAGTTTGTGTTTAGTGTGAATAGTTTTATACCAAAATAAGTACTTTTGCCAAAGAATTGTATCTAATGGGACATACCAAAGGGGACCATCACTGAACCTGAGGATTAGATCTGGGAAAAACAAAATTCTTTTTCTATTATGCATTAACAGCTGGCTTTTGCAAGTTAATAGTCAGGTTATATTAATTTTTAATTCAGGTCAGGAAACACTAAAAGACCTCATCATGCTTCTTCCATCCGGGGAGTCACAGATTCCTGAGTGTACAGCTTTAGAGTTAAATAGTAAGTATGGGACTAGGGTATTAAAAAAAGATTTCAGAGAACTTTTTGTGAGAGAAATGGTGTGAGATCTCGGTACCTCTACCAAAAAATACAAATGTACAGAAAAAAATGACTTAAATATATTCTATATTCAATCCAGCTTTTTGCTCTTCTTGATGGTGAAATCAAAACTTACTTAAGCTTATTTCAACACTTATGATCTGTAATTAAAGAAAAGCTTCTTTTACTGTGTTCTTTTTTCCCCCCTACTTGTTCAAACTTCACCAAATGTGGAATCTAACCAAACTGCTACAACACCCCAAAATACCCTCTGTACCTCTCAAGGCAAAGAGCTATGTGGACTCTCTCGGTTATTTTTATTAGCAGGGCTAAAAATCAGAAAATGAAACAAAACTGAAGTTTTATGATAATGTACAATTAATGAGGTAGTAAGGATAAAACACAGAAATGGGAAATTTCTACAGCTCATTAGCTCTTTCTCCAAATTAAGTATTAGTGGCAGCAACAAAGGAGAAACAACTCACAGTTCTGTTCCTCAGGGCCTCAAAAGAGAGGGGACAGAGAAAGATGTACTCATAATTAAAGATGGGAGAGAGTTTATTCGCTGGGATTGAAAAATTTCATATCTCACCAGTGCTAACTTATATAAGAGAATTAGAATATACTTTGTAGACTCTTCCCCAAAAGCAGTCTTGAGGTATTATGTACAGCTCTAAAATAAAACCCATTTAAATAAAATTTTTTTCAGCTAAAATGATTAGAAGAAAAAAAAATACCTACCACTTCATGCTCCATATATGTTGTAAAGTACTAGTTTAAATAGGAGATTTCACAAGACTTTCTATACGTTTAACTTTGTCAAAATTGCTCTCGCCCTCAGCAGATGTTTCTGTGTTCTTTGACTGGTAAAGTTTCACATTTTTTATTCCAAAAACTACATGTCAGAATCTACTTCTAATTTAAAACAACCAGAAATTGTTTGATTAGGATGTATAATCTAAATTTAAAATTACTGATTTATTTCTCAGCTCTTTGTTGCAAAATCCTTAATTTCTACTCAGCTAAAAGAGAAAACTTTTTGCATTTTATTTATGGCTACTCATAAATGCCTCACACACCATCTGAAGGATGGAAGGCTGTATTTTTCAATTTCTATCATTTTATTAATGTCTAGCTAAACTGTCCCAGTAACTGCTGTAGTAGTATCATAATGTACCAATTACCAAAGATTAAACACATATTTCTCAAGCTGGGTTGTATAACAATATTTACATGAAACAAGGATTATTTAATATTGCAAGCAAGCAAGGCCACATTCTGAATTTATCTCCTCAGAGACATACATCCTTAAAAGCAGGACTTGAACTACCCAGAAGTGGTGAAAACACTACTGTATTGGGATACTGGAATAAATACAGCCATACTAACAGGAGGTATGTTTTTGAAATACTTGAAGAATTTGCATTATCTGCGTTCTCATATTTATTATATTTTGCCATCATTAAACACTATGCACTCTCCCCCCTCAAAAAAAGCCCCAAACCAAACGACAATACAAGAAACTGAACACAAATATGCAGTTAAAACAAGCCACTCACAATATTCTCCAGAGTTAGCAACTACACAGTCTGAAAACTTTACATGTACATTTTGGCCAATGTTTAACATGCTGAATTAAAGAAAACGGTACCCCAATAAACAGTTTTGACACAGTAACACCAGAAATTATTATTTTCAATTATTTTAGTGACTATATATAATTCAGTGATAATTCTCTAACGGGTCACATAAGCCTGCATTCATTTCTGGGTACATGCATCACAATCACCATGGGCCAACATCAGAAAGTGTAATTCTGGAGCACTGTCCGTAACAGTCCGGTCAACAACTTCCATTGACATCAGTAGATTTTAGAATGAATCTTCCTACCTGTGATGTATCTCATGTCATCCCTTTCTCTATCTTAACAATGTATGTAATAAAACAATATGCAAGACAGCAGTGGTTTTCAACACAAACTTACCCTATAGAAAGCAGTCGTCAGGGGCAGCAACGCTGCAGCAATGTTGTATTCCTCTGAAGATGAACAATCCTGCAAGAGAAAGGTACGAAGAAAATAAGCAAAACCATTTTCTGTGTTATGCTTTATAATTTCATCTCTGCCTTATGCAGTGCCTCTACCATTCTTCTGATACATGTAACTTTTAACGACTCGATAGCGTGTATTTATGTGTGCGTACATACACATATCTCCACACGATTTCTCCCAGACAGGTATTGCTATGATTTTTTTCCCATTTAAGAAATTTATTAGTGGATTTCTCATTCCCATGGCTGGAATATAATTTCACCACCATAGTTCACACATGAAAATGAAAGAATTTCTCCTTTAGGAAAGAATAAAAAGATAGCTTCCTTCCATTTGGGTCAACAGAAGATCTGACTAAAATGGAAGTGACGTGATGACCAAGGAATGCACTTTTGAAACATTTACATGAAGGAAGTGACATTTATGTAATATGAAATAATCACCTCCACAGCCTCTACAAAACTTTGGCACAAGGTTAACTTTAAAAGAAGATGAAAACCCATTCTCTTCACAATCTGAATGCCTCATTCAACAGTCAAGTGTGTCATTCGTGTCTCTCCAGGCTGAGAAGGGTATGCCAAAGTAAATCAACTCATAATTGCACTGATGAAAGTAGTGATTTTATTATGGAAGTTTTTTAAAAGAAACCAGAATTGGAATGTAACTTAATATTTAAAAAACAAACTACTTGAATTTTTAAGACTTTAAAAAACCCCAAAAAACAACAACAAAAAAATCCAACAAGAGTTAAAAATTATACTTTTAAAAAAGTGGTTAGATGCTTTTTCATTAGCTCTTTCTGCCAACACTGAAGAATACAATAATGCAGATAGTTCTACTAGACAAATGTATCACCACTGTGCCCCTCCATGATGAATGACAAAACATTTCCAGTTGTACAATTCATTTCAGTATTTTAAACATCCATTCTTACAGTGGGCACCCTCCAACTGAAACCACACTCCTATTAACTATAACATCTGACCAAATGCCAAAACTGAAATAACTCAAGTGTTCCTCTGCCAGATTTTTCATTTATGTCTTCATCTTGTATCAAGAGTTCTCTAAAACAGAGCAAATAGCACAAACCTGGCACCAGACAACTGTGATAGCAGAAATATAAAATCTACATTACAAGAACAAGCATGTTAAGGATCATTAGGATTCACCTCACTCTTCTTTCTTCAATGGTTGCTCAGTGACTACAGACTGCAGGTTTAAAACAACACACTAAAAATACTCATCACAAGACTATTTTGCTTCTCATAATTTTAAACGTCCATGTAATCCTTTGCGATTTTTCAATAAAAAATACTTCACCTTCTATTACTTTAACTAAGCTCACTTAAACAGAACACCAATGTCCATTACAGTTAAACACAGTAGCATTTAGAAAACTACTTACATACATATTCTGAAAAGGCACACAACAAGTTCACAACTGTGGAGTTTTATTTCTGCACAGAAGGTTTTAACATGCCTATCCCTGCACGAATACGTGTGCTACTACACGTGGGCAACAAGGGGTGTGCCAGAGCTCACACTTCATAACACATTCCAATCTGGTAGAGCAAAACAGCAAGAAAAGTGGGCACTGAGAAACTCAGTACATGTTTGAATGACGCCTCAGGATTGTGAGATATATATCTATATATCTGTATATATAAAACCCCCAAATGAGTTTGTAAGATGTTAGAAACATAAGACTAAGGGACAGAGCCTCAGCTGCTTTTAATTTTCAATTTCTGCATTATTTCCTATTGTTATCCATACTCTTAATCCCTATTCGGAATTTAGCACATGTATTTTTAGTTTAATGTAAATATATGACAAATATTGTTAGTGCTTTTTCACTTAATAAGAAAACTTCCCATTTAAAATGAGACTTTACAACCTTTGGGAATGAGCAACAGCTTTCAAAGAAATAAATATCTTATTTCTGTACGTGCTTATTTATAACCAGGTATAAAATGATCCATGCTCAATTTCAAGTTATCTACTTAATCCCTCAGCTCAAATTATTTGTAAGCGTTTGGGCTTTTACCCAAAATATACATAAAAATACCTTTATAAAAACTGAGCAATGTATCTTCACCTAGAGAGCATGCAGTATTCCAAGAGCTAACATATGTCTCGAAGATATATATCATCACCATATAAACAACACATTAAATTATTTTTCCATTCCTTCTTGCAAGTATGAAATTCTCCACATATTCTATGTCAGCAGTACCCCCTGGACTTGTAGTATGGAAGTATTATCTCTATACATTGTTTTCTTCTCCAGTACATGACAAGGAATAGAAAGTGATCTCAGTTAGGAATAAATGCTGTTTTAAGAATAGTGGAACTAATTAACTCTTTATCTGCTTTGTAGCTGCAAGACATAATGCCTTAGTTAAAAGAAATGTTGCACTGAAATCTCACCTTCTTGATTTTATAAGCAAACTAAAGTACTGCAAATGTCATATATGTGTTGTAGGCAATTAATTTAGACTCCTGAAACAAAGCAATCCAGCTGCCTTTTATATAATGTCTTTACCAATTGTGAAAAATATCTCTTGCAGCTGCTACAGAAGTACACAAATCAAATACCATAAAATAATTAAAGCTGTTCCCCCTAATTTGCACAAAATGAAGTTGAAACACATATGGGGAACAGAAATTATTTTCAGCAAATTAATCTCCTAAAAACAACGTCTTGTGACAGTGAAATAGAGACTTCCACTGTGCCACGTGCAGAGCACTGCTTTGAATCCACGCCTAATTGAGTGAAATCCTGGCACATGGTTCTGGCCACACTGATCATATATCCAGACAGTTGCTGAACTCTGTAGCAGATTGGAAGTGTTAGAGGAATTCATGTACATTTAAAATAGCTTTGCTGTACTGAGTTGACAAGTGAATAATAAAAGGAGAACGTTTTTCCTTACATCACATACTTTAATAGCACATGTGATTTACATTTCAGTTAGTTTAAATATGCAGCAAAACTCTGGGGTTAGATATTGTCATTAGAATGCAGAGCTGACAGCTTGGAAGTTACAGATTTTGACTGCTTGGACAGACACGTGGAGCTGCCAGTTTATGGTGAAGCACTGACTGGTTTTTGGAACCTGGTAGGCGGCTTCAGCTTCTGGTACCGGACAGGAGAGGCAACCCTTCTCCTCACTCTTGACTTAAAAACAAGCACTGCCCTGAACTTTTGTTTGGAAAACAAGGCATTACGTATGATCATTAAGTTGAGATGCCCTCTGCAATCTGCTAACAGCAGAGAAAAGCTGAGAAAAGTCAGCCCAGGTAAAGGTGCCTCCTTGTGAATGTGCAGGTCCAGACTCAAGAGAGCCCTTAAGTCCCTCTGATGTTCCACTGGCTACAAGAACAAGCCCCAATCAGTGAAGCACAGTGACAGTAAAGCACAAGTTTATCCATCTTCCTGCAGTAAACAACAACTTATACTCAGGGAGTTCTGCTTTCCCTTAGTCACATGATGGAAATCTAGAAGCCATATATGAAATACTTTATAATATTTGGAGGGCAATTTGCTTTTTATATCCATCTTGATAGCCTCTCTCATTAATTGTTCCCTGCTACGGGATGCTTTGGTGTTAAACCCCATTCTGCTTTGGGCATTAAGCTTTTTAAACTGGCACCATATTTTTAAGATTCTACATAAATCTGAGCATGCTGAAAACTTGGGACCCAATTTTGCCTTAGATTCAGCAACACCATAAATACATGGAATTCCCCACAGGTCTGACTCATATGAAATCAATGTAGTGTGCAGTGAAAAAGTTCAGCATGGCAGCTCTTGATCCATACCTTTTTGGCAGTACAGTGTGATGCATGCATGGTCTATTAAAAATACTGCTCAATTAACCTGTATTGTCCCTCTCGAGAACAATTGAATGCTGTCAATTTTCACGCACACTAAGAGCATTCACCACCCTGCAGGACTAAGCTCATAATGAATCCAGAAAAAAATAATGCCAGAAACTTCAGGGTCATACGTGTTTTTAAAGCACTATCACAAGAATTGTTAAGCCAGTATGTGTAACTATATTCAGTACATTGGCTAAAAATTGCAGGTGAAATACTGGTTCCAAATTCAACAGATGATTTCACTGCTGTCAGGATTTAATCCTTATTGTTACAGATATATTACATGAGCAGAGTTTTACTGAATCACAGAATTTTTCTTGTTGATGCAGTTTTATATTTTGGAAATAAAAACTCTCAATCCTAATGCGCAAGACTATTCCTTCTGTCTAAAGCAGTAAGAGAATTCAGCATTCCAGTTTAGAAGAATGTTTTGTTTGTTAAAAGGAATAGGAATTCATCATGTAGAACTGCAGTGTTACTCAAAACTATAATTTAATTTTAATGAGAGGATTTTTCATTTTCATTAGAGAAGTTGAATGAACTATATCCATTCATATGTAAATACAATATTAATGCAATTGTACTATTAAAAATTATAGTTTTGAACAAAAAAAACCCTATTCCATGTTAATTGATGTTACAACCAATGTCTTTGCAGAGGTAAAAATCCAAGTAAATAAACTGGCAATTTCTCAAAAACTAATTACAGCTAATATAATCATATCCTGTCTTGAAAGAAAGGTGAAAAAACAGTCTCATTTTGAATTTTCAAAGTAATGTTTAAAAGTATTTCAGCTACAAGTTTTAACTTCACAGTTAAAGCCATCACCTAAAGCAATAGTCAAAATGACATACTTTGTTAGAATAAATGCCAAAATGACAATAATCATCTATGTTACTTGTTACTAACAGCATGTAGTTAACTTCTAAAGAAAGTTTGTAATCTTTTTATTGGATTCACATGCAAAATTATTTTTTTCAGTGAAAATTAACATGCACTTACTTTCTTGCTAACATTCATATAGAGTTTTTCCTAGTGAAGTTAACATCAGTGCTAGCTCCTGTTCTGCTCTATAATGGGATCAAACTTTCCCTTTTTTTTTTTCACCAAAGATGAAATA